TATTTCTTACATAATTGCATGATTTATATATTATTATTTGTATGACTATGTATTTAATTTCATGTTTATTTGCATGATTTATATATTACTATTTACGTAATTATAGATTTAATTGCATATTTATTTGCATGGTTTATATATTTTTATTTGTATGATTATATATTTAATTGTATGTTTATTTGCATGATTTACATTGTTAATTGCATGGTTAAATATTAAATTGCATGATTATTAATTAATTTATTTGGGTAATTTTATGATTATTAATATATTTATTTGCGTAGTTATTTACTTATTTATTTATTATTATTGCATAATTTTATATTTATTACATGATATGATATTATATGTTATTGCATGATTAATATTATATTTGAATGATATTTATTGTATGTTTCTATATTTATTATATGCATAATTGAATGATTATACATAATTACTAATATATTTGTGTGATTATATTTGATTTCATGATTATATATTTGAATAAATGGTTATTAATATATTTGTATGATATTTTATATTTGCATGATATTATATATTTACATAATTATTATTATTATTGTATGATAATTAATATATTTGCATGAAATTCTTGCATGAATATTTTAGCATGATGTAGGCATGATATTATTAAATGATATTTGATATGATTTATAATATATTTGCATGATAATTTTTGCATGATATGATTTAATATTTATTGCATGATTGCATAATTACTTGATATTTTGATGGGATTTTTAGTCCATTATGTTTTGGAAATAGATAAAAGGATTGTAATTGATTTATTTGCATGATAAAACTATCTTTGATAAGGCTTAGGTAATATAACACGTAATTAATTTGGTATCAATTTTGAGCGTAAAAGAGTGCTAATACCTTCTCTACATGTAACCGATTCTGTTGATGTATATTAGAACTTATTATTTTTGGGGACCTTCAGCTTAGACTTAGGATAATCTTAAAAAAGATAGATTCACCTAGGTGTCCAATCACACATAAATAAAAATTCTTTCAAAAAAATTAATTGATAATTGAAATCTCTTGCATACTTTTTATTATGAAAAACTTCATGTGCAACAATTCAAAAAACATTATCAGTATCTTAAAAAATGTTTGTTACCTAGCATTCTAAAAAAAAAAAGAAGGAAATTTCAACATGCTACTTCAAAAACCACTTCTTATGCATTCTCTAAAATGTATTTCAAAAAAATTTATAATGTACCTGTATGTTTTTCTTAGAAGAATTTCTTTTATATTATTTTAAGAAGTGTTTTCCAACATTTAAAAAAAAATGTTTTTCTTCAAAAAATATTCTTTAAACTCACTTTTAAAAAGTGTTTCCCATGAAGAATTTTTCATTCATCATTCTTTAAAAAGTGATTGTCATACATTACTCTATGAAGCTTTTCTCGTTATACCAAAAAAAAACTCAAACTGCTAGCATATCATCTTAGGAAACAATCATGAGTAGAACTATTCTCTAAAAAAAATAAGTGATTCAATTTGTCAAGTACCTTTTAGCTATCTTGATTTTTTTAGAAAAAGTGATGTTCATTGCTTGTTCTCCTAAACAATACTTGATTTATTTTACAATATTTGTTCTCTTATCCTTTTAGAGAAGTATTCTTATGACTTATTCTTTTATTTTAAAAAAAATATTTCCATTACTTGTTTTACTATTTTTAGGAAAATATCTATTTTACTTGTTCTCCTAAGTAAACATTCTCATTATTTATTCTTTTATTTTTAAGGGAAACATTCCTATTAATTGTTCTTTTATTTTTTAGGAAAATATCTTCATTACTTTTTTTAGGAAAACATCTTCATTACTTATTCTATCATTTTTAGGGAAATGTTTTTATTACTTATTCTCCTATTTTCTTAAAGGAAACACCAATTACTTATTTTCTTAATTTTTTTAGATAAACACTCTTATTACTTGTTCTCCTTTTTTTAAGAAAAGACTCTCATTATTTATTCTCCTATTTTTAGAGAAACACTTTCATTACTTGTTCTTCTATTTTTTAAGGAAATATTCACATTACTTGGTCTCTTATTTTTCGTAAGGGAAACACTCTTATTACTATTTTTCCTATTTTTTAGGGAAGCATTCCCATCACATATTCATTTTTTCCTAATTTTCTAAGAAAACACTCCATTACCTATTCCTTTTAATAATTTTCCTATTTTTAAGTAAAACATTCCCTTACCTATTCCTTTTAATATTTCTTCCTATTTTTTAGGGAAGCATTCCCATCACATATTCATTTTTTCCTAATTTTCTAAGAAAACACTCCATTACCTATTCCTTTTAATAGTTTTCTTATTTTTAAGTGAAACACTTCCTTAACTATTCCTTTTAATATTTCTTTCATTTTTTAGGAAAACGCTCTCTTGCCTATTCCTTTTAATATTTCTTCTATTTTTAGGAAAATAATCCCTTACCTATTCCTTTTAATAATTTACCTTTTTTTTTTTGAAAATACACTCATTACCTATACCTTTTAATTTTTCTAATTTTTTTAGAGAAGCACTTACATTACTTGCTCTTCTATTTTTTAGGGAAACACTCTTATTACTTATTGTCCTATTTTTTAAGGAAATCTTTTTATTTCATATTCTCCTATCTTTTTATAAACACTTCCACTACTTGTTCACCTATTTGCTCTGGGAAAACACTTGCATTACTTGTTTTTCTTTTTTTTTTTTTTAAAGAAACACTAACATTATGGCTTACAAATTCATACATCACGTGTCTAATGGGTAATTCTTTGATTTACAACATTAAAATTTGCTTATCATATGCATGAAACATTCTTTGATTTTCATCAAACAATTTTCATGCAAGGGGCAATGAATCCACACATATACAGTCACAAATATATATATGTAATTTTTTTTTCTTTTCATGAAACTTGTATCATACATCTTTAAATTACAAGAAAAAATATATTTTATTTTCATATATCTTTTACTTTTACTCTTTCATTATACTAGTGCATAACAACTTCTGATATTAAGAATTTTCATACAGGGGGCAAAATGTAAATAGTTGCTTTTGGTTACTAATATTTTATTCTTTTAAATTTCTCTAAAGTTGTTAAAATTAAAAATAAGTCAGAACAAGTGATAAAACTGTTTTCATAAAGGTTATTTAATGAAGCAGGTGATAAGATTATTTCAATAAAGTTTATTTTTTGGAACAACTATTCATATAACAACTTTTTTTTGCAAAATAACTGTTTACAGAATAACTATTTAAGGAATAACTCTTTTACGAAACAATGCCTTTACGAAACAACTATTCTTAGAACAACTTCCTCAAGAAACAAGACCAACACTTTTACCAAAAATTCTTGAAACACAAGTTAATTCACTAAGAGTTATTCCACAAAAAACATTGCACCAAATGTTATGTCACTAAAAGAAGAAATGAAAATAAGCTCGGAATATGACAAGGTTCTTGGGTTAATTCCACTATTAGGATGTTCTGGAGAGTTTGGCTTGATAGATTAGATATGAAAATAATTAAGAGGTTTTATCTTAACAATTTCCTGAAATATAAATGCTTTTTTCTTTTCTTTAGAATAGATAAATTCACTATGCCTATTACCAAAAACAAACTAATTAAACTCTTATTAAACAATACATAAATATATGTTATAACAGTCAATTCTCCCATTTTTTCTATTCAATGCTCAAGATATATAACTTTTATTCTTGAACCTTATATATATATATATATATATATATATATATATATATATATATATGAGTTTTCACAATTGATGGGAGACTTTTAGAGACCTTGACAGATTCCTCATAATCTTCTCTTCCTAAATCTTTTTCTTAGCTTTATTCTCTTTCCTTACTCAACCTTGCTTCATCATCTGCCGCTATATTCAATACTTTAAAGTCTACTCCAATCTTCCTCTCTTTAATCTCTTGACATATCTTATTTTACGTGTTTGCAACGCTTCCTCATCTCAATAAATAACCCTTCTATAGATGCTTTATTCCAAGTACCACAACTCCGTTTGATTAATTGATTGAACTCTCTACGAATCAATATTCAGTAAATTTGTCTGCAACTTGATATCCACTGAACATTTTGTATTCGGTAGTATACTTTTAACTAGATAAGATTCAATATTTGAAGGCTTTTCTCGAAGTTAACGATAGAACAAGAAAAGACTTCCAAAAACAAGGCCTATAGTGATTAACGTTGCTTGCTTTATAAACTGAAAAAAAAAAAGTTATAGTATCATCTTGATTTCCATCGAACATTTTGTATTTGGTAGCATACTTTCAACAAGACAAGATTCAATATTTGAAGGCTTTTGTTGAAGTTAACGATAGAACAAGACTGACCTATAGTAATTAACGTTGCTTCACAAATTGAAAAAAGAATAAATAAAAAACAACGATTGGGAGTAAAAACCAAAGTGAAACAATCATTCAGCTATTTCCTTGGAACTGCGTTCCGCTTATAACTCCCAAACTACTCCGTTTCCCCACTGTTAAACTCCTATCCAAAGGATGTGAAGTTATCAAATGATGAACATAAGTCAGGAATAAATAGGTCCTTTTGTAGCACAAAAAGTGGGTTTATCTTAAAATATGGAAACAAATTATGTTATTTTGATGGGGCTTTTTCTGCTGCTAGTTGCTGTTGATTGCTCTAGTTCTGATCCAAAGATGAATTTTTAATGGAGAAAGTTAATTAAATTCTTTAATTTTATTCATGGGATCAAGATATAGTTTCTAATTGATCTTTGGTTTTTTAGGGGAATTTGAATGAAACGACTGGTTTAAAGCAGAATGTAGATGCCACAGTGATCCAGTTAAAGAAAACGGTGATTCTAAATCTTGTTCGGAGTTGATTGAAGTTAAAGAACCGATAGATAATAAAGGAGATCAAATTAATGGATCAGGAGGTAATCGGAGTGATACAAGTAAGAGCAATTTGAACCAGCAATCAGGTTCAAATGAAGGCGAGAATACGCAAAAGGAAAGACGGATGGTGAAAAAGAAGGTGATGATGAGCACAAGGGTCGGGAGCAATCAAATGTTGAAGCTAAAGGAAAGACTGATGGTGAGGAAAAGGAAAATTCTGAGGACGTGACTAAAGATAAAGATAATGCACAGGACTCGGTCACGACACGATCGCCGCCAACAACAATGGGGAACAATGGCTTCCGGTTTGAAGAATGCGATTCATCTAACATTATGTGTATGGATAAGAATAAAAGGTTTGCTGCAGGTTTGCTAGTCCCAGGAAATGGTAAGTGTCCTCTAACCGGGATACAATTTTATATTGTTAAGTATTTTTCCTTGTTTCTTTGGTTATGACATTCTATGCTGTAGACATTTATAAAAGGGTTGTGACTTACAGGTCTCAAACAATAGAAAAGAGTATGAATAATCACTATTGACGATGATCACTTTGCACAAAATTTATCTCTCTCTTCATCTCTCTATTGTTCTGCGTCGCAATATTCCAGAATCTCCACATCCAGCACTTTTGATTCAGAACAAGGGAAAGGGACCTCTTAGCATTAAAATTTCTGCTCCTGCTTTTGTTCAGTTAGAGGAAACAGATGTTGAACTCCAAAAGAAGCAAGACAAAAAGGTATTTCTAAACGATACTGCAAGTTATGTGCAAGCATCATGTTTTTCCTTTTTTTGATAAATCATGTTAGGTTAAATCACAAATTGTGGCTTATTAAGTGTCTGACTCTTCTTTCTTTGTTCCAGTTTAACTTATTGGTTTGAATAAGTCTTGATTACTCAATAAATAATAAACTCTAGTGCCATCTAGCGAAGCACAGCCAAAAAGAAATTGGGTGGGCAGGAAATTAATAAATTTTTATAGACATCAGCTTAGCTCATTTTGTTTTTTGAATTTTTTTTTTTGTCTATTCCTTTTAGAGATGAGTGCTACAAGTACCCATTGGCAGCAGTCTCTCTTTGCAGTAGTTGGCCTTTCGAAAAGCTTTTAAAGGTCTTCAGGCATCATCAGAAGGCCTTGCAATCTTGCATGAACAGGCACTCTACTCTGCTTGCTATAATAATAGGATGCAGGAACAAATACATAACATGAATTGTTTGTACAATCCTTGTTAACTAATAAAAGTTTTTAATGAGATTACCAATCAGGAACAGCCAAGATTTGTGATGGCTAATAATAATTATATTAGCTAACAGCGCTAAAGGCATATAAATTGCTAAATTTGTGGATTAAGTACAAGGCTGCTGCGCCCTGGCTGGAATGAATACACTTATCCATTGTCAAACATTGTTCTTTTGTTTGTTTTTTCAATGATGATTTAAGAAGCATTTAGTATATACTTTCTATTTTTGATCTAATGACATGATTGATAATTTTAATTAGGTACGTCTTAATGATTAGACTGTCCATATATATGATGCAACTCTGGGCATTTCTAGCCTTGCTAATGTTGCTGATTATCTGTTCACAGAAGGTTGTTTCTGTCAAAAGTGGGCTTTGATTGATATTTACATTGCATTTGCACAGGTAAAGGTCTACATAACAAATTCTGGAACAGAGAACTTGATTATCTTAAGGGATGGCAGTGGAAAGTGCAGTCTTGATTTCAAGGATTTGATTGTGCATAATTCTGCCGAGCCCTATGTAAGCTTCTTGTCAAAAACCCTTACAACTGTCTTTTTATTCGTTGCCACTACACCGACACTAACCTCAGGTTGGATGTGCATGAGCTTTAGGCGGATAGTGCTTACAAGAAGTGGCTTGAAATACCAAAGGCTAACATGCAGCTGCCTGTATTTGGCGGGGCAAAAACAGAGCCAGATGATAACGATGGATTGGATAAGAGCTGAGGTGATAATTGATTGGTATGATAAGAAGGCACCTATGACACCCTTAATGCCTGTAACTCGGAGCCTCTCCTCCTTAGACCTTCCCTCGCGACCGTTGAGTAAGGAGGGATGCAAGGACTAGTGCCATTTTGATTTAAACAAGCAACCAAAACTGGGAAAAAGAATACATTAATATGTAATGTACTTTTTTTAACTGATTACTCTTTCTCAATTTAAAAAGTGGCCTTGTTTCTGTTCTTCAGTGAAATAGAAATAGAAATAGAAACCTAAAGGAAAATTTACATGATGATGCCAATCTTGTTTTTCACAGAAGTCAGGATATGACATTTGCTCCTTTAAGGTAATAATTGATGTCATCTACGAAATTTTTCAGTGGGGAAAGCCAACAAAACCTTCTTATAAAATGCAGGTGTTTGCCATTTCTGTGGTGTACTGCTAAAGTTTTTTGGCTATAGGATCCCATGCAGGACATGTAACGCCCTTCGGATAAACATCTTTATTCTTACAGAAACAAGTGTTTACCGTTGACCTCATTAGGAATTAGGGCAATATTATTATGTATGTTAGACTGCTTGCATGCGTGCGTAAAAGTGCTTGCCTGCGCAATAATGTGCCAATATGCATGTGCCCTGTGCATCCTTGCTTGAGGGCTGAGGGCTGAGGGCCATTAGCTGAGTGGGACTTCTTTTGGGTTGGCTTGTTGCATCACAGTTCTTGAAGCTGGTTAGTAAAACCACCCAGCAGCAGTAGACTAGATTAGGTCTCACTTAAACCTCCGCTTCTGTTAATGATCCAACTAATGGATCAGATTCCCGGCCAAAACCACCCCACCTTTAGGCCGAAGGCAACAAAACAACACTCCCTCGGCCTTAACTTTGCATTTGAGCATGGTATTCCAAAGCAGGCCCTTGATTGATCTGAATTCAATCTGCTCCTTGCTGAGGCCCATAAGAAAAGGAGCAAAAGGACAGAAGAGTTTGTTGGGTTGGGTTGGGGTCTCATCCTGCCACGCCACATATTCCCTTTGCAGTTTTCAGCTATAATTGGTTACGCTTTTGCGTTATCCCTAAAGGCCGAAGGCCCGATAGAACTTCGATCCTTTGTCCTCCTCCATGGTGGAAAAGAAAATACTGAAAAAAAACAATTTCCATAGTCATATTTTTTTGCCCAACATCGGTGGCTGCTAAACTCTTTCGCATTTTAGCTATTTATTGAAAGTATTAGTACAATTAATTTTTATATTGAAACAAGGCAATAACCTTGATAAAGGACCATAGTACTAGGTAAAAACCCTAACTTCAGTAAAAGACGAAGAAATACTTGGTTTAGTAGCTTCCTGCTCACCACACCTCGCCAACGACGAAGTTTTCTTCCCAATTTTATTTATCAGTAATGGGAGAATCACAGTAAAAGCGTTGAAAATGACAATCCCAGATTGCCTTTTATTTCATTAGCATCCTTCTGCAATCTGCATGTTACAATTTGTCCTCACCACAACTTACGGAAAAAGAAACACTCCAAAAAGGAAACATGTGTCCGACAGAATCACATAAGTAATTTACTATTTATAAATTAAAAGTAAATCCCTCCCTCTCATAAACAAAATATAAAATAATAAAATAAATCCATCGTTTCACTATAGTTTTGATGAATACAAACAGAACATATTATCCTTAAATCACGTTTCCTTCAACTCTTCGATACCTCAATATTGTCTTTTTCACGAACTTACTCTCTCGTAAATTTAATATTTACTTCACATTTTAAATTAAGAAAAGTTTTTGAAAAATGAAAGTTTTTTTTTTTTTCTCTTTTGGTGTAATTCAACCTCACAATTGAAGTCACAGCAAACAAACCGGTGGTCACAAGCATGTGAGACGTAGCATCACATGTGCCGCGTGTTGATAGATGATTCGTCCACGTTTGGTAGAACACGTGCAGAGAAGCACCTTTTTCATGCAAGGATTGCCAGCACGTGGGTGGTCCCCACTGAAAATTTTGTAAGTCTGCACGTGCACTCACATGACGAGATTTAATGATCCGTAAGAGTAAAACACGTGTCGCATAATCCCGGATTTATAGGGTCACAAAATCAACGCTGATTGCGATTTGATAAAGACTCCAGACCCACTGATCAACGTGGGTTGCGGAGGCTGACGGCTCAGATCTGTGGTTCATGACAATCTTTATCGTACAATAGAGTTTATTATTATTTTGTCTACTTGCAGTACGTCTTCATCTACGCAAATTTTACAACGCCGTCACCGACTAATTTCGACTGCCAGCCTCCAATATTTAAGCAAAAATCATTTTATCAGGAGCCAGTACCTACACACGAGGAATTTTAAAATGTCTAGCCAAATGTAATTCTTTTGGGGCAAAGTCTAGCAATAGATTAGATTGTTAAAATAATTTACTAAATTATTTTTAAGTTAGGTAGAGTAAACGATTATAATTCTTGTTATATACATATATATTATAACGTTAAAAGAATTGTACGAGTGAAATGTTGAAAGGCTTATATTAGCATAATAAATATATTATTACATTTTAATATATCCATTTTTTTTGCAATGTTGAAAAATTAAGTTTAGATTTCTATCAAATATTTAAAAATATTATGTAATTTCAAAAAATTAGGGTAAAGCAAATTGCTAGTTTCTTTCAATTAAAAAAATTATCAAATATTTCTTATTTAAAAATTTAAAAATTTATATTTGTGCTATACATGGGACAAGTATATCTATAATATTTTTTATAATATAATATTATTTCAAAATTTAATATAATTACAATTTTAGAGAAAATTTAATTTTTTTTTCATGATTACAAATATATTGATAATGGTTGATAAAAAACATCCTAAATAATTTTTTATCATCATTTTATTTACAATTTAATAGATAAATATTAATTTGATTATTAAAAATAAAGCTATAAAAGTAAAACAAAAAAGTGTGATATAAATATTTTTTCTTAATCAAAAAGATAATTTCATTCATAAAATCAAAGGATTATAGAATTTAAGAATTTCATCAGAGAATGCTCCAATGCCTAAGCATAAAAACAATTGTAATAACACATAATAATATACACAATCTAATTTCTTAAAAAAAATAGTAATACACACAATCTAACCATCTTGGAGTCTACTATCAATAGGCATAAAATAATTATGTTCAAATTATTTACAAAATGTGGTTTTTTTAAATGCATGTAAATAAAAATTTATTATCCAAACAAATTTAAAATATTTTAATTTAAATTTAAAAAATATAAATACATGTAACGTTATTTTATTATTATAATAACTTCAATATAAATTTTAATTATTTTCTCAAATTGAATTGGTGTCATTTGGTGTAAGAATGGTGTATGTATGTAGTAGATCATTCTGAAATGTTTTACTAATTAGCTTTTTTATTTATGCAAGATTTAAAATTTTAAATCCATATTTCTCAAAATAAAGCTCATAATGTAAAACATTTGTGTTCATTGAAGTAAGGACATTTCTCAAAAAAAAAAAAAAACTAAGGTTTACTTTAATTTATAATGAAAGTCAGATGGCAATGATTCTGTTATTGTTAAAAATTTTACAACCTTGCTAATAAAGTTTATAAAAGAATGATTAATGCTAACTTATTGAGATATTTACCTTTTAAGTGTTAATCAATAAATTGCTAAAAAGTTACTAAATAGATGTACTTTCAAAAAAATTTTATCTTTTGAATTTTCATTAAAATTTAAACTGAAAATTTTTAATTTTCAAAATTAAATTTAGTATCACTTTCAATTTATTAATGTCGTTGGAATTAAACAAAATCACTGTACATCGAAATAAATTCATTAATTATATATTCATAATTAAGAACAAAGTTAGTTAATTCGATTGAATCGCACATCAACTCTAAACCTACTTCATTCAAATGCCATCCAACTTGAACTGGACTCATTCATTATTTTTATTTTTCCCACAATTGATAATTGCACGTGGAAAAAGAGAAAAAATAAATTTAATTATCATTCTTGTACATGATATGATTGTTTCTTAAATTTCCATCTGTGCAACCAGTGGTATAGAACACTTGAAATTATAGATCATAAACGAAAAAAAAAAAATCTCCAAATGCATTATATGGTTTTTGTTTGCAGAACAGGGAACCCCCTTATTTTGTTTAAAAAAAAATTGGACATGAATTTTAAGGTGATATGGTTGGAAATATTATGATTTTTTAATTATATATATATATGAAATTATAAAAGGGATTACTACAAATATTTATTAAAAACGTTTTTAAGGTTAAAAGGTATTTTGAAAATTTAAGAGTAGATGATGTGATTTTTTAAAAGTTCAATAAAAATATGTGTTTTTAAAAAGTATTTTTAAAGAATATATAAAACATTTATGATTAAAAAAAAAAAATGGATTCAAGACCTTACCGCTGATGACGAAAGATTCGCGGTTGGTAAAAGCATGTGTAATTTTTTTTTTCAGGCGGAACCTGGAAAGACTGTTGTGGGGAAACTGCACGAAACAGATGCTTAGGCAAATTGCACAAAGAAACAGCAAAGAGTGGGGCCAGAAGATCTACTGCAGTTAGTGGAGAGCTGAGATTCCGGTGTCGGCTTTTAAACCTTAGAGTTTCAATCTACAGCTAACTTTTTTTTTTCCAATTAATTTATGTAAAAAAAATCAGGGTAGCATTTGCAGCATATATCATATTTTTATGTCTTTGCCTCTCCAAATGCCGCACTCAAGATCCAGGCATAAAAGAGTAGAAAGAAATTTGAGAGATTCTGCTTTTATTGTTGGGGGCTCTAGAATATATTTAGTGTTGGTGTAGAGCCGTGAGTTAAGGAGAAAAATTTTTAAATCACATAAGAGAAAGAAAGTAGATAAAAATAAAAGTAGAGAATGTTTTTTGCATTTACATTTTAAAATTTAAATCAAATATCGACTGCAAAAGATCAAAAATAAAAAATAAAAAATAGAGACAATAAAAGAAAGTGAGATGATTATATAATAGTTGAATAGTTCTATTTATAAACTGAAAGTGAGAAATTTATAAAATAAAATAGTATCATAACTAAGTTAACGTACCATTATACATATTAAGTTAG